TGTTTTTTTTTTTTTTTAATTTTATTATAATTTTAGTTATATTTTGTATATAAATTTAATTTGTTTACTGTTTACTTTTTTTTTTTTTTTAATTTAATATACAATCAACTATAGTTTTTAACTTGTGTGTTTTTGTGTTTTAAATCTTGTGTTTCTTAAATAGCTACAGGATTTTATAATTTTGTTTTGTTTTTTTTTCTTAGTATTGTTTTCTCTTCAAATTCATTAATTTATTGACACTTATTATATTATTTACAAATAAAAAAAATAACATTGTAACCCACACTATACAAAATATTATATTATATAATAAAAGTTGCTTACAAATTTTCTAAAATACACAGGCAATATATAATTAATGAAATTCTTTTTTTTTTATTTCAATCCTTAATTAAATTCTGAAAGTTTATTGATTTTAGCAAGTAGAAATTGAAAAATTTTTATATTATAAAAAAAAAACACAAATCAAAAATTATTTTAGATATGACATGATACGCAAGGTGTAGTGAAAAATTTAATTAATTTTAAAATTTTTTTTTTTTGTAACACGAGAGTAAAGAGAATAAGTAAGAAACTACAAACATACATTGTTTTTTTTTTTATATTATTTTTAAATTGTTATTTATATAAAACAAAAAATGTCCTAATTTTATACGATAAATGTAATATACATATTAATTAATATATATTGTGTGAAAATATTAATTTAATCATATTACATTAAAAAAAAAAAAACAAAACTGATTATTAAATTTGTAAAATGTTTAATAGTGCAATTCTTTTAATAATATTTTAAAACACACCTACGTATATATTTTGCACAACCACTGCATAATATAATAATACATATACATTATATTGAAAAGTTAAAAATTTTTTCTTTAATTTGAAGTCATGATTATTAAACAAAAACCAAAATTAATAAAATTTGATCAAAGATTTTTTATAATAATAATTTTAATATCAAGATACAGAGTCTTTGGTTGAACATAACTTATGTGAAGCTAATACATGTAACAGATGCTGAAAGAGTTAATCCATATGTGTGTGTATATATATTATAATTTATAATAACGTTTACTCTATTCTTATCTTTTGAGTAAAAGAGTTTAGAAATTGAAAAAAAAAAAATACATATTTTGTATAAAATGGATAATGTTTGATTTCAGTTCGTTGTTGCAAAAATGAGCACATTTAACATTTTTTTTTGTTTTTTTTTTTTAGAAAGGACTTTCTTTTTCGATATTATTAATTTAAGCTAAAATTTAATTAGATTTTGAGCTTATTATAGATTTAGAAACTATATAATCATTAATTTTTTAATTAAATCCTTTATTGCCCAATTGTAAAAATCGCGTTTCTAAAATAAATTTTCAAAAGTCTCTGATTAGTTTTGACAAAAAAAAAAAAATCAAAGTCTGCAAATAACTACAGGAAAATAAATAAAAACAAAACATTCTTTAAAAAAAAACTAAAATTTATTACTTAAATATTATTTAATTATTCACAATTTTTTCAATTAAAAAACTAAAAAGTATTTTAATTTTGATTTAAAATATTTTATAATTATTCTAGCAAAATTGATTTGTTAATAAACTGATAAGCAAGAAAATTATAGAACAGAAATAACAAGAAATAATAAAAATATATATATATATATGTATATAGGTATATTGAAATAATAAAATGATTCGATTAAATATTTTACATATTTATTTTTCGAAAATTACAATAAAAAATCATTTAACAGAATTTTTATAAATTTGTATGAAAATTTTTCTTATTAATAGAAATAAATTTTTTCGTTAAACAGTTAATAAAGTACACAATTTAATATTTAATTTAATATTTACATTTTTCAATCTAATAAAGTAAAAAAATAATAAATATTTTGTTTTTATGACCGGAAAGTAAAATATCATATTTTATTTAATTAAAAAACAGAATATTCAAAGATTTATTAAAATATTTCTAAAGATTAATATACTATTAATTGCACACAATTAAATGCAGTTCATATATATCTTTAAATTTTCCTTCAAACAAAAAACAAAACTGTATTGTTTGTTTCAAAAAAGATTCAAAAAACATAAGCTAATCTTTCGGATTTATTATATGAAAATATATAATTTAAAAATTATTAAATACATTCTGTTAAATGATTTATTTAATCTATAAAGTTTTTGTTTTAATAATGTATTGTTATTTATAATAAAAAAAAAAAAATCAACATATAATATGTTATATTATAATATATGTAAATGAAATTGAAATCATTAAATTGTTTAAAGATAATTTTTAATACGAATGTTTAAAGCAATTTAACCACAATTATATAAAATCAATATATAAAAATTATAATTATAATTAATTATTAAAATAGACGTTGATTTGTTTTAAAAATATTTTTTAATAAAGTAAAATAATACACTAAAAAAAAAGTACATATTGTACTAAAATAATTATGTAATTGTAATAAAACAACAGGCTTAAAAAATCTTAAAATGAAAAATTCATAAAATGCACTTGTGTTATTAAACAAATATATAAAAATTAGATAAACATTTTTTTTTTTTAATTTTAAAATCTAATAAAAATTAATTGTAGCTACTTATAAATTGTTAGTAAACTATAAGTATAATTTGTAATTTAAATAACAAATTTACAAATATTATTCATATGCTCAAAAAATTTCAAATACATTCATACCATTAAGTATATTATATAATTAATATTTAACAAATTTTTTTATTTGTGATTTTTAGTTTTTTTTTTTTTTGAAAAAGTACACAAAATTTCAATTTTTTTTCTAATAGTAAAAAATCCTACACATATTGCTAAATTTCGAAAATTTTTATAATTTTTTATATAATGAAATGTAATAACAAAATATATAGTTTATTAATATATTATGTGTAATTTCCGTAAAATGTAACTTACTTTGATTTTATTTCATTATTATTTCAATTTTTCTTTTTTTTTTTTTTTAAATATCTGCAAAATGTAATTTATTAAACAATTAATTTTAGAAATTTTTTATTAGAATAATAATATATAATTAAAGTTTCACATTTTGTGTGCTTTATATTTGATAATGTGTAAATAATTTCTTTTAATATTAATTTGCAAAACCATAGTGATCTAATACGAGTATTAAAAATCATAATATTTAAAAATTAAAAATTATTATTAATAAACAAAAAAATCGAAATAAGTCACATTCCTCATGCATTGTAGTTTTAATATAAAATATATTATTAAACAATTTAAATTATTATGTATTTATATTTTATTTTAAAAACTAATGAAAATATTTATATATTAAATAAAATATTAGTTTTTATTACCAAATAGTTATTTTATTTCAAATATTTGAAAATATTGACATTAAAATTAAAAACCAAGTTTTATAGTCAGTAATTTGCAAAAAAAAAAAAATTGAAGTTAATGAAAAATAAATAAAAATTTAGAAAAGAAAAATTTAAAAAAGAGCAAAATGTAATTTATACTTTTTTTTTTATATAATGAAAAATTAATTATAAAAAACAAAAGGCTTGTAATATTTATTCACAACAAATTTACAATTCAAGCGATTATTTAAACAACGTTTATTTCAAGGATGTTTATTAATAATTTATTATTAACAATGTACATTCGTTAAACATGATTTAAAATAATTATAAAAAAATGCAATTATTTAATTGGACTTTGTTACGTAATAATTTCATTATTATTATAAAATAAAAGTTCATTTATTTGATTTCGTTGGAATTATGTGAATAGATTTCAATTAAAAGATTCAATATTTTTACTTAATCAAAGGCAGTAATCTTATTTTTGCACATTTTTCAAAGAACTACTACTAAATTTAATTTTTTTTTTTTTTGGTAAATTGTGGAATAGTTTATAAATGCTTTAGAATTTCCTTGAATTTTTTAATTGAATAAATGGAAAGTCCGTGAACTGAAGCTGTTATAAGTAAAATACTTTCAAATAATTTAATTATTTTTTGTTTTGTTGTAAATAAAACAATTTTAAAATAGTTGGATAATAAAAGATATAATGTATATTTGTTAGGTATTTGACAAATTTTAAAACATGGTTATAATAATTTTGTTTTTAATTTTTAAAAATTAGAGGAAAAAAACAATATTAACAATTTACTTTGTAGATATTGTTATCTTAATTTATGTTATAAGTATTAAATTTTTGTAAATAAAATATTCAATTATAATTATATAGTTTTTTTTTTAAAACAGTTGTAACCAAACCATTTCAGTGTTGATAAAATAAATTTACGTATATAACATATCAACAATACAGCTTTTGTTAGATTGACCGATTTTATAAATCATAAGTGTTTATTAAATGTTTTGAAACATTTTTGAACAAATCGGTTTATGAGTTTTAAATGTATGATTATATATAGTTTTGAGCCATTTTTTAACTTGTATCTGAAAAATTTCGTATTTTAATTTTTTTTAATGGAATTCGTACGAAAAACGTTTGAAATAAGCTTGAAAATATAATAATTATTTCTCTTAATAAAGAAGTAAAGTACAAAGAAAAAAAAAATACAGAATAATAAGCCAAAATGGTATTGGCAATTGAAGGGATAGAATTTGCATATATGCATTATACGAGTACAACTCTAGTAAAAATAATTTTTTTAAATTACAACATACATATTGAATTGGTGCTCAGTTTTTGTGAATTTTTGTTTAATTATATATTGTATTATAATATAATGTAATATAATATATATTAAATATTTTTAGTATATCTAAATATTTTGAAGATTTTAAAATTTATTTTAGTAAAATATTTAACATTTTGCTCTTTTAACAGGCATTAATTAAAATTAACTAATAATTTTCCTGTTTTATATATAATATTGCAATTTTTTTTTTTGTAAACATTAAAATTTTTGTAATTCATAAGTATATATACTTATATTTGCACAAATATGTTATTAATTTGAATAATATTATTTTATATTTAATAAATTATTTTTAATCTATTTTTTATATGTATGTATATGTCATAAATTAAATTGTAGTTTAAAATTTCTGATTCAACATTATTTAATATTTTTTTATAACTTTCTTTTTGTTTGTATTTATGAAAAATACATTTTTATAAATTCTCTTTATATATATCTTGCAGCTTAATTATTGACTAAATACGTGTTTAATATTAATTTTATTTTATTAATTTAATATAATAGAGGTTTGGTTTATCGAGTAGTCTTTTAGTTTCCCATATATGATTGAAATAAAGTAATGCTTAAAAAATATTAAGATAAAATTATTTTAAAAACTATAATAAATTTGATGATAATTTTTTTAATTTTTTGAAATTAAAGCACTTTTAAAATTTACATGTTAACAAATTTTTGAATCTAAAAAAATATGATTGTGTAAATACCTATACCCTATGAATAGGTTTATTTAATAATGTTACGAAGCATTTAATTAAAACGTATACAATTTCTATGAAAAATTTAGTTTTTTTTTTTTAATTTTTTTGCTACAAAATCAAAATGTTATTTTAATTATCATCAAAATTGGTTAATTACTAAAATATGCATATTCGAGTGTTTTTAACAATTATTTTATTTTTAGAATTATAATTAATTAGAAATTGGTTACTTCTAAAATTTCGTAACAATTGAAATGTGAAAGCTTTAAATTTCTTTTTTGTGACTATGTATTGCCAGTTTCCTTTTTATTTAATATTAAATGCTTTAATTTGTTGTTCGTATTGGGTCACTATGAATCATTATAAAATTGAAATTTTCTAATTTTTCAAAATTTTTATTAAGTTAATGCAATTTTTAGATTAAAAATCAATTTTTATTTGATAATTTGGTTTTATTCAAGCACATATTCAACATAAATTTAAATTTTATATATAAACTTATCAAAATTTGCTATTGTTATATTTATTGCTTTTATTATACATAAGTAGTAGAAACAAAATAAATCGATGTGTTTTTATATTTCTTTGCAAAATTTTATGAAAAATGTTATAAATTTTCTCTATAGTTCCTGAAGTATCTTTTTTATAAATGTTTTGATTATTTGAATGTTAAGTAATTTAAAACAAATCCCCCTAAATTGTGTTTCTGTATTTAAAATTGTGAAATTTTAGAATATGGAATACCCTTTTTTTAGTTTCACTTTTCTTAAATCTACAAAACAAATTTGAATAAAATATTTCGGAAAAAAATGGCACTTTAATATACAATTTTACTGCACTTAAGCGCAAAAGCTAAATATAAAGCGATATAAATTTTAAATATTCAATTATTTGTACAACACGAATATAATTTGTGTTTAAAATTATAACAACCAATATTAAAAAAAATTATAAAAATACTTTATTTTCTAAATGGTTAAATTTATATTTGAAACAATTTTTCAATAAGAAAATTATTAATTTGTCAAGTTAAAATAATTTTAGAAAATACATTTGATATTTCATAAAAAAGCAGAATGAAAAAATATCTAAGTAGAGTGGTAAGCTTTCAGAAGCACAAATTTTTTGTGCTTAACACCGATTTCTTGAGTATTTTATTAAAAAGTTCAATAAGAAAGGAAAATACAAATTGAAAAAGGAAGAAAAAATTAGACAATTGTGGTTAATGATCTTTTATATATCTACTTGGTGAAGCAAAATTTCGTTTTTATAAAAAAATAATTTTGCATAAAATATGAACTGTTTCAAACTTTATACATAAGTATTTCAAATGCTTATTTATATTAATATATACATATTATGAGAATTACAAAAGTTAAAATAGCATTAATTATGACATACCCTACATCATATTAATATTAATTAATATCAATATTATTTCTTTTATTAAAGAAAATGTAGGTACCATTTCATCTTTGGTATCAACAATTTTCGTGATTATAAATCGAGTTGAATGTTGTTCAAAATTAAGTTGATATTGTAATTTAAAGTAGTTTGAATTTTTATTTAACTTTGAAGAATTTAAAAAAATATATATATAGACATACAGAATTATAAATACTTTCAGACAAGAAGAGTATTTCCCTTTCTACATTATGTTATAAATATTACGCCACACATATCCATAAAACCATTTTGCTACGAAAAATAACCATTAATTTAAATTTTTGGTATTGATTTTTTCTGTATTTTCGATTTTTTATTATTACTTATTATACGTTTTTTCAATATGACTTCTATAACATTTTACATATATTTAAAAAAAAGATTTAATACCGATTTATCAATTATGTGCAATTTTATTTAGTTTTCAGTATTCTATAAAATGTATGAAATACATATACTTTTGCAAATAAATCTTAGTAATTTAAATATTAAAACGATGTAGACATATTATAAAGACATTTTAATACTTTCACCAAAGATTTAATAACTTTGCTTTCACATTTAATTTTATTTTTATTTGCGTAATTATATTGTATAAACGTTAGAGCATATGAAAAAAGAATTTTAAAAACATAAATTTTTTAGACCTACGGAGGACATTATAGGATGTGTTTTACTAAAATATAATAGTGTACATATACATATTGTAGACATGCATACATGTGTTTAAATATCTTATGTAAAATCTAAAATTTTTTATAAATTTATTATTACATTTAGTAATAAGAGACATTTTCAAATATTATACAATGTAAATTAGAAAAAGCAAGTAAAACGAAAAAGTTTTGTATTTCAAAGGATAATTATCATTTAATGATCTTCCTGAGCAGCTTCAAAATAATCAGATGCGTTTCCTCTGCAAATGGGACATGTTCGATTCGACTAAAATTTATAATTTTGTTTTTGTAAGTAAAAAAAATAATAAAAACGTGTATATACATTTATACATATTTATTTTATTTGGTTTTTAATCTTTATATCGTACCCTTTTGAAAATAATAATATTTTAAAAATTTTTGAAGAAAAATTATATGTGCATATATAAATTAAACAAAGTTACTCAATTTAAATCCCTAATTTCATTTTTTTATTTCCCAGATTTTTTATGCTTTCTTCTGTTATTGAAATATACTAAAGTTACTTCATTCTAAATTGAAATGAAATGCGGAATATACGAAAAAAAAACACGGAATTTTAGCATGTTTCGAATATATTAGTAATTTACTTATATTTCTTTAAAATTAATTTAATTTGTTTTAAATTTAGTTTTGTTGGTGTTATTCTCCATGTTTGGCTATTAACAAGAAATGTGTAAGGTGATTGTTTAATTAAATAAAAATTTAACTTGATTAACTTATTTTTAAACTAGGCTTTTCATACAATAGAAAAGACCATCAACTGACAAGTACAATTTGTTATTAATTTTAAAATATTTTTCAAAGGGTACTGCAATAAAGGAATTTTAATTATTATTTTGCTAAAATATTATTTATATAAAAAAATATATCCATTACCCGCAACCATTTGTCCACACATTTTGCATGAAATTCATGTGAGCATGGTAATACCCGCAAAACTTGACGTATTTCAAAGTCACACATACAAACCACGCACGATGTTTGGTCACCTAAAAGTATAAGCACATGCATATTAACTTGTTTAAAAAAAAAAAACAAAAAATTTACTGATAAAGTTATTAATTACCTGTATGAGATTCTGGATTAAATTTATAGCTTGGCAACTGATCAATTTCATTACGAGCTAATCCTCTTGGTTTTGCTTCTCCAAGACGTTCAGCAAGACTTAATAATGCTTCATAATTTTCAGTTTCATTTGAATCAGGTGAACTCAATTCATGCTGACTGTAAGGCGATAATGGGAACATTGCTCTGTAACAAAAATTAAAATTATTCACATTGAACAGATTAAAATATTATGAAGTTATACTTACAAGAAATTCAGTAGGAATCCTGTATTAATTATACCAGTTTGAATTTGGACAGGTGTAGGTTGATGATGATGTGGTGCAATTGCTAATTGCTGTCGATGAGCATGTGGATGCGGTGCTGGCCAATGAAAACGCGCATACCTACGTTGTGCTGCTGCTAAAGTACGACGAGCATGCCTTAAAATTTCAATTTGATTAGTACGATCAGCTGGTATAAAGATAGGCTGTGGTTGTGCAACTTGGGTCATTTGAGCTGAGGAATGTAAATGATGTGCAGCAGCAGCTGCTGCGGCAGCAGCGGCTAATGGAGCGACATGATGAATTGTAGATTGAGCTCCAGGAGGATGATGTTGATGATGATGTGTTTCTAAAGGCTCAAATGTTATAGCATCAGGACGCTGAAAATGTAATTGTATCATATTAATTGTTCTTGAATATAGTTTTTATGTTTATATAATATTCTGCAATAAGTACGAAGCTATGTGAAAATACAGCATACATTTGAATTTTCAAAATTTTTCTTTGCTCAGATTTATAACTTCACATCAAGAAAGATATAACCAAAGAAAATTTTTTAGCATAAAACGATTTTCTTTATTTGCCCTGTACTTATTTCAGAATGACACTGTTTATTTATTTACTCTTATTTGTTGGGCAATATGTGCATGCTGATAACTGGCTTGATGTGGTGGTTGGGGTATTGGTTGTTGTGATACAGTAATGGGCTGAGCACCGGTTGGGAATGCGCCAAAATGATGTCCACCTATATTACAATGTGGTGGTGGGGGTGGTGGTTGAGCAAACTGCTGAGCTGAATAAACGCCATGTACTTGGCACGGAGCTAAACGAGCTGAAGGCGCTGGGTAGGCACATATTGATGTATGATGTGGACCAGTGGAATATGTCCATATAGGAGTGGCATCATGACGTAAAGGTAAACTGACAGGAACTTGGTTAATATCAACCATTAGAGGTGGTGGTGCTTGATGTTGTTGTGGGGCGGTTTGTTGCAATATTGTTTGAATCGATGACTCCCAAGGAGTTCGGGGAGGTGGTTGTTGCTGTGGTTGGGATGTTGCTTGTTGTTGTTGAGTAATTACATTTTGCTGTTGCTGATGATGAATATGATGATGATGATGATTATTTTGTGACTGCTGTTGTTGAATATGTTGATTATTACTAATGTTATTAATGCTATTATTGCTATTAATAGCATTATTATTATTAATATTGTTATTGATATTCATATTATTATTATTGCTATTGTTGCTATTTCCATTATTGTTGTTATTATCGTGATTATTATTACTATTATTATTACTATTGTTATTATTGTTATTGTTGTTATTATTATTATTATGACTATGACCATTATTATTGTTATTAATATTTATATTATTATTATTACTATTAATATTATTATTATTGTTGCTATTAATATTGTTGTTGTTATTATTAATATTATTATTATTATTATGGTGGTGACTGTTATGACTATTGTAGTTAGTTCCATAACTACTATTGTTATTATGACTGTGATGTACTTGGTGCTGTTGATGTAAACGTGGTCTGCGAATAGGAGGACTTCCTTGGTGCATTTGCGTCTAGCAGGGAAAAGATTAAACAAATTAATTTGGTAAAAATTTATTTTTGGAAAGTTTTTTGTACATTATGTTGGTGTTGATATGGATCGCCTCTTATCCGGGGAGATCGTCGCTGTTCCCATAATCCTGACGGAGGAGATTGGCTTGGTAAACGCGTTGACATCCGTCGCCTCTTTCGTGATGGACTATCTGATTTAATTGAATGAGATCCTTCATTTGGGCAGTTGTTGTTATGGTTATATGAAGAGTTAACAGCTTGATGATTATAGCTAGAGCTACTATGACCATTAGAATAATGATTATTGTTACCATTGTTGTTATTGTGATATTGATGTGGGCTTATAATTCGATCACGATTTCCATTACGATCTTGTCGATTTAATAGATTTAAATCTAAATTATTTCGTGAGTTGTGTCCATCAAAATGCTTTTGGAATAAAAAAATAAATAAAAATTATGAAATTTTAAAGATTACAAATGTAGGAAAGTATTATGTTATGTAATTTTTTTTTAATGGAAACTACTGCATAAAACTATATTACCTGCAATAAGTAAATTTAGTAATGATTTCTTTTTTAAGAATTTTACTTTCTTTGTATTTAAACAAAATGCAAATATATAATTTAAATGAAAATTATAATTTCTCACCATATTTGATCTATCATTTAACCCCGAGCCAGATGGATTGTTGATATTGCTAATGGTGCTGCTTCCTCCACCCATTGACTGCTGTGGCTGATTATTACCATTATTACCACTATTATTGATACTATGATTACTATTGTAACGTCCATTATTTAAGTTTAAATTATTATTAAGCATCAAATTATGGCTGATATTTTGTCGCCTATGATCATTATGACTATGACTTGGTCCTGCGACTCTATGAATTATTTGTTGAGATCTTTGATTATTACAACCAGGAAACACAACAGTAGTTGTTGGATAATTATTGCTATTATTATTTATTAATAAGGGATTGGAATTTTGATTATTTATGGAATTATTATTATTCAAATTTATATTATTGGAATGTAAATGAGGATTGTGGGAATTATTTAACGGTTGGTGGGATTGTGCTAAATTTAAGTTGTTATTATTTATATTATTAATATTATTTGGTGATGATGGTGATGTAGCAAATGCCAACGATATTGTTGGCGAACTTAAATTATTATTATTATTTATATTATTATTGATTATATTATTTAATGGTGAAAGAGGTGAACGAGCACGCTGAATAATAATAGCTGAATGACGATGATGATTATGATTAATATTATTATTATTATTATGGTGAGAATGATTATGATGATGATGGTGAATATGATTTAAATGATTATTACTATTATTACTATTACTATTTATATTATTGTTAATATTATTATTATTACTATTATGATTATTTGAACGATGATTAATATTATTAATATTATTATTATTAAAATTATTAATATTATTAAGACGTGAATGTTGATCTAATTCATCATCGCTTTCATTATGATGATTTGTTGATGATAATACAATTGGTATAATATCAACATCATTTCCAACAACAAAACTACTTAAAGGAGTTTTACACAATGTAACAGTAGTAGTAGGTGATAATGTTGGAGACGGATGTGGTAAAGGTTGAGAATTAATATGCAGTAAACCATTTCTATGATGACTAACTATATTATGTGAATTATGACTAATATGGCTATTTGTATTATTACTGTTAATAATATTACTATTAATATTATTATTATGGCAATTATGGTGATTTATGTTATTATTATTAATAATATTATTACTATTATTTAAATTTGTTATATTATTAAGGCTTTGGTGGTGATTGTGGTTGAGGTGATTGTGTTGGATATCTTTATTATTATTAACAACATTACTATTAGAAGAACAACAACTTCCATTATTATTTGTTTGTACATCGCTGCAAATGCAAAAAGGTTAAAAAAGAGAAAGAAGAAAATAATAATAACAATGAAAGAAGAAATAAATTTTTTCTTATAAAAAAAAAAAAACAAAAAACTAAAATAAAAACATTAAAAAACTCACAAAATGCCAAAATGCAAATATTTATATATATACTTAAATTTTATTTACTTTAATTCTTTTTTTGCTTGTTTTTTTTTCTTTTTTTGATTTTCAAAATTAAATAATTATGTAGGTTATGTTTAATTTTTCTACTGTTTATTCACTGTATAAAATGCATAAAATACAACTCATTTGCTTATAAAAAAAATTTTTTTTTTATTATAAAAATTACAATATAAGTTTTTCACCTTTTGTAATTTCAGTGATGCTAAGTGCATAAGTTATCAACAAAATCTATTTAGAAATTTGCTGCACTACACGATTAACACGATTTTAATACATACACATAATAAATTTAAAATTTTAAACTACAAGTTATTTTTTGTTTTTTTTTATTAAATTTATTTCTTTTAAAATATTACCTTTTTTTCAGATTAACTACCACAATTAATGAAATTCAATTCATATAATATGTATTTGATGATTTAAACAAGACAAATAATTTAAGTTAAAATATGCTTTTATTACAAAGCGATATAAAAAAAAAATAAATTATTTTTGAAAACTAAATACCTATGCAAAATTTCCCACAAAAAAAAAAAATATAAAGAAAATTTTTTAAACTAAAATTAAAATATATAAGTATATATACTAGAGTTTTAAGAATACATAATAAAAATAAAAGAAAAAGTATATTGAATATAAAAATTTTAAAAATTGAATTATTAATCATAGCACAGCATATAATATTCATAAGTATACAAATTTTTGTGTGTGACTCCCATTTTCTAATTAATTTATCAAAGAAAATTACAACACAAAAAAAAAAAAAAACGAAACAAATTAAATTTTAACAATAAAAAAAAATATAAGAAAAATATTGTGAAAATATTATTATTGTTGTTTTGTTTTTTAATGCGATAATTTTAATTTACAAAATGCTATCAATATACAACTTAGCACCCCTGTTTATTTATCTTTTTTTTTTTTGTTTTATTTAAATTTTATTTTAGATACGAATAATATATAAGAAGAAAAATTAAAACAGACAATATTACATGTTACATATATATATATATGTAAATAAATGCACAAGACTTTTATTATTATAAGTATATATGTATAAAAACAAAAAGTAAAACAAAATTTTTCTTTATGTAAAGTTTTACATTTTGATTTTTCAATCATTTTCTGTTCCAAAAATTTTAAAAGCATATTATGTATAATAATTATAATATTGGAAAAATAAAGCTCTAAAATATTATTTTTTTTTATTAATAAAACAACATATTATGTATATTTGTATGTAAAAATTAATTTCATATAGGATTTATATGAAACATTATCATTTTTTAAGTGCCAAAATTTACCTCAAAAAAATAAAAATTAAAATACAACATAACAATATTTTGGTTTTTTTTTAACATGCACTTTTGTTTTTTTATCACTATGTTAGATTCCATGTTATATATATATATATATATAATATATATACATAAATAAATAAATAAATATATATGTACATATATATATTTAATATATTATATATATATATATATTTTTTTTTTTTGTAAGAAAAAATAAAAGCAATTAAAATCGTTTACATATTATTATATGTAAATATCATTTTACAAATTTATCTAAACATTAATTAATATAAAGGATTATTAAATATAAAAATAGAGTATAATTAAATGTTTATATGAAAAAAAAAAAAACAAATTCCCAAGACCCGCAAAAAAAAATTTTGTTAACATTATCAAAAAAATGTAATTTATGTATATATAACAATAATTTTTGTATAACAAATTTTTATTTGAAAAATAATGCTATTGTTCAATTTTTATGTTGACGATTTTCTTTAAAAAAATTTTTTTTTTGTTTCTGAAATAAATGTGTAACTATTGAGATTGACCAATGCAAAATACATGGGCTCGTTAAAAACATACAATTTTTACAGTTTTAAATATTACAGAATTATCAGTTATTTAAATAATTTTTAATTATATTTTATTAATTCAATTTAAATATATATTTTAGTTCTGTTAATAAAAATTTAGATTGATTTTGCTTATTTTGCTCAAATATAAATAAAGTCATAACAGATTTAAGAACTACACCAGATTTATCGATTTATTATATATTGGTTTACTACTGAAATCGTGGGGGCTCATAATTGATATTACCCGTGGGGGCAATATATTGTCCAATTATTCATAAAATATCGATATGTAAATTTATTAAGAATTTATCACGAATTTCCGCTTAACAATATGTTTTAAGAATAAGCTGAGAACATAACACATTTTTAAATTTTTCCTTTCCATTACAATTAAATAATATTTTAAATTGTTAGTTATTTTGTTGTATCGTCAACATAATTGGAATCGTTTGTTATAATTTGTAAACTCTTATAAATAAATAATTAGACAATACGACTGAAAATCGAATAAAGGTGAACAAATTTTTTACACATTTTTGCAAGTTTGTGTCCCGTAACGATTAGAAATATTTTTAATATAAATAAAAACGTTCCTGTATATAATTTTTAAAATATCAAGTGAACTGTTATCATTTAACAGTAAGTGAATAATTTTCGAAAATTTTTTTATCTTATTATTTTTTTTATTTTAAGTCATTAGTTCTCAAAAATACGTATGCAAAATATCAATACATATTTTTAATAAAACATATAACATTGCCAGAGTTTTTAAATTTTAAATTTTTGTGTAAAGAAAGAAAAATAAATTGCACAGATTAAATTTGGAATGGTTATAAAGATTTTCAACACTTTTTCAGAAACAAACGACATTATATAATAACAAACATTGATATATAAAATAATATTTTAATGTGAATGTATGTATGCATAAGTATACATAATTTACTGGAATATATTTTACATTAAAATGTACATTTAAATTTATTAATGAAAATAAAAATAATAGTGATTTGCTTTTATAAGCCTTTAATAAAAATTTTTTCTCTTTAGTTTTAATTCTTTTTTTTAATTTAAAAATCTATACATTTACAATCTTTTTTTTTTGGCAGTAGCAAAACGAATTTTAAACACAGCATTTTAAAAACCAAAAATGAAAAAAGGAAAATATTTTTGAGCTTTATTTTTTTTTGTAAATAAATTTTTTATATCTAAAAATTTTAAAGCTAATTTATTTATTAAAATAATTTTTTTATATTATTATTATTACAATATTGATATAATTGATATAAAATTAAAACATGGTACATGTAGATTTTTTAATTATATAATTTCTTAAACAATATTTTCAATTATATCAATATAAATAATACGAATAGTTTTGGTGTATTTATGGATTGGAGAGACAGAATATACCCTTTTACAATATATAGAATGTTCTAGAGGAAATTTTGTAAATTTTTGATATTTTCTTTTCTTTTTTCATTTAATTTTAGAATATACTTATGGCGATTTTATTTTGTAATAAAGTTTTATTATAATATTCCGAAAATTTAGAGGAGTCCAATTTTATGTTGAGTGTTTGTTCATTTATATATCATACATATGTATGTATGTATATGTATCTTTCCAGATACATATTTTGTTTGTCAAAATGTTGTTGACTTATTATTTTATACTATTGGCAAAATACTATAAGGTTATAATAAATTTTGTGATTATTATTTTCATAATACAATAATAATTGTTATTTGAAATTAAATTTTTATTAGAAAATTTCAATAACATTGTAGTCTTGAACTTTTATTTTAATGTAATAAATAAAATGTAAAGAAATATAATAAAATTATTTATTTATATATTAGATTTTTGTATAAAACTTTTTATTTTATAATTTTGATAATTTTTTTAAGAACATTTTTTTTTCATTTAATACAAAATTTTTTATACACATGTAACTAACTATATATTTTGGGGGAAAACTTAGTTTTAAGTTTTCGTTTGAATCTAAATAATCATATATATTATACAAAAACAAAAAAGTTAGTTCCTAATTTACACTTTATTTTGATTTTTCGATAGACCACTTTCATTATTTGAATTCAATTCAAATAAATTTACAATTTAATAAGACTTTTACGTACATTTCATATATGTATAGCGCAAACAATTAGTCAAATTTGAAATAAATACAGTTGTCCTCAATTTTTTTTTTACGAAAATAATTAACTATGTATGTATATATATAAAAACGATTTATAACACGGGAAACTAACTTTTTAGTACGATAACGAATTACATAAACACAATGAACTTCTTGGAGGTTTCTTAAAGAACCTTTGCAACTAAATAAAAAAAAAACAAGAAGGTATCTATGCTCTTACATTTTCTTACATTTTAATTTCACATAAAGAGCAAAAGATAAATAATTACAGTAAGTTATTTAAAGTTTTGTTTCCTGGTATATAAATCAAGTATTGAAATTACCGTGTCAGTATAATGTAGACCCGGATAAGATTGTAAGTATAGTAATAAGATTAAGTGTTTGACTCATAGAGATGTTTTTGATAGCAGACCTTTTCTAAATCTTTTATGTTTCAAACATTTTTTTGAAGAATTTCACCCTTTTAAAAATATTTTGATTATTGTTCCAATATTTTGTTTAAAAAATTTATTTTAATTTAATTAGTGGAACGTAGAAATCACACCATAAATAATAATTTATCGTATTTCCTCTACAATATTTTCTATACTTCTTTCTTTTGTTACTTTATTTACAAAAAAAAAAATTTATTTTAAATATTTGAAATTATTTTATTTTTTACTAATTTTTCATTTGATTATTATAAGAATTTTTTTCTATATAAATTGCATTAATTAATACTTAAATACTCAAAAAAGTTAAAATTTTTATTGTATTTCTTTCTACAACAATTCAAAAAATTCTCTTAAATTAA